AACGAGACGGAGACCAGTACGGAAGAAGATATGTCCCATAAAATTAAGAAACTTTTGCAGCGGGAGTTTGAATCTGGACAAAAACCTGATGGGTGGCATCGCTACATCGATGGCATTTTCGGTATTTGAAATCATGACATTAAATCTCTCTTATAATATGTTCATTTCCTTAATAATTTACATCATACTATTAAATTTGCTGTTTCACACATTACAAATTCTTACAGAGCCTTACTGTTCTTTGATACCATAGTCTCTGTTGAAAATATTTGTTTTACTAAAATTACCCCAAAACATGTGTTCAACCGTAGATTTTAAATTTCAACTAACACCAAACGCGGTGTAATTATTGGACAACTTTAAATGATTCAAAGAATCTACAACACAAATGACAATAAAAACAGTTGCTAGGTTGGACTTAAGAAAATTTCTTTGTTGTAATGGTTACCATGATAACTATATTTTTAAAAGGTTTCTTCCAAACAGAGTTGTACAAAAGTAGGTCAATAAGCCTTCACAGATTGAAAATGTTATCTGAACTCCACCATCTGTCGATGAATCCCTCATTAAGCGTTTAGGCAAAACTATAAAAAAATCTGGGTTAAATATTAGCATTGTACAAAACCACGGGGACTACACATTAAAGTTACTTATTTATTCGGCTCTCAATAAAAAAAATTATTGTAAGTAATAAAAAAAAATGTTTTGCTAGAAACAATGGAACTGGGTGACTCTTGTACTGTTAAAAATGTAATATATGAAATAACATGTAACCAATGTGACGATAAATACATCGGTGAAACCAGGAACGTCGAGAGCCAGCACGGGTCCCCCTTTTTCTCTCTCTCTCTTTTAACATTTTCAAGAATTTATTCAAAAGAAGATCCTAAATTAAGACAGCAACGAACTCATAAGCCAGATAACATCATTGCAGCAGCCGTTTTTACCTCACAGTATAAGCGTAAAAACGTTAATAAAGTAACAAAAAATATTTATTAAATCTATAAAGTAACAAATACATATTGTTACGCCTCTGGTCGTTTGTTAATTACCCGTAAAAATTGTTTCCGAGGAACTTCAGCGATACAAGTTCTTGCTTAAATAAAACTAGTTTATTCTTTCTCAATACAACTTTGCAATACACTTAATTTCCACAGTCACTTTAACTTGACACACGCTATAATTCACAATAATTTACACACTTTACTTCGGGCTTGATTCGATTATCTGTCTCTATCTCCCTCTATCAATTATCTATGCCGTCACTTCTCGCCGGTCTTATATATACGAAATAGAGGGCGTCTGGCAA